GGTAATATGTTTTTCTGCTTCTGTTGGTGGCCTTCAGGTTTCTACTTGATCACCAACTCAGAGGCTGCCAGCTTGGTAGAGCCACAGGAAACAGGACGCCAGACCATTCCCCCCTTTCCTTGGTTAGCTTGTGCCAAGAACCTTCCTCAGCATTTATGACTACTGGTGTGCCATTGTAGTTTTCTAGTACTCCTGTAACACAAGTAAGTGGATGGTTCTCAAGAACAAATGTATTTTCTCTCAGTTCTGGAGGCTACAAGTCTGAAGTCAAGCCATCAGTTCTAGTTGAGGGATCCTCTGGTGGCACTGACAGAAGATCCTTGGCATTTTCTGTGTCTGTAGCCCCAGCTTTCTTAGTTGTTTTTCTGTCTTGCTCCTTAATGTAATGATTAGATTCTAGGCACAACCCCCACTAATAGGATCTCGTAACAACACGATTCCAAATCAGTTACTGGGGTGAAGATTTCCAATAGATATTTGGGGGAAGTCCACAACACCTTGTCCATTTGTCACCAAAATGCAGCTACTAACCTAATATATTCACTAGGCTCTGATGGTCTGGTAGTGTATAGTTGCACTGCCAACACATAGGCTCATGCTTCAAATCTACCAGCTACTCCGTGGGAGAAAGATGAGCAGTTTCCTCATGTTCTGGAAATCTGCTGAAGGGTCATGTGTGAGTGGTTTCAGACACCACAGCAGCGAGTTGAGTTGAACTTAAAATCTGGGGACAGTAGTGATCCCATGGTGGACTTCTCATCTTCCAGGTTCCATTCCTGGCCAGCACTCCATGTGCAGCCTTTCTCAATAGAGGTTTGTGTGTTGCAAGGACACTAAGGTTTCACCAGAGCTTCTAGACTTAAGGACGACTAGGAAAAAAGGCCTGGTGATCCACTTTGAAAAATTAGCCAGTGAAATCCTGTGGTTTGCAGTGATCTGATCTACATGGATCCAATTATGGAGATGATGCAGGACCAACAGCATTTCTTCTGTTGGACACTAACTCGATACTAGCTGACTGCCACATATCAAAGTGTGCTAGAACATTCCTGTTAATTATTTTATCACACAGCAGGAAAAAATTGAGGCTGTGAAACACCCTCCTTGCCACTCTTGCCCCAAACATTCTATGTTGAGTTTCTTGAGTATTATTCCAGATCTATTTTATCTATAGTACACATAAGCATGTATATACTTTTTTTTTCACGTGTGTATACTTTTTATAGAAATGGCAGCATAGTATACATCATATCCCACTTTTGAGCAGTTCTGTTTTATTTATTTTTTGCTGTTTTCCAACTTCTGATTATTTTCTAGAGCCATGATTGTATTGTTGTTAAATACTTTTGAGTTGGAACTGACTCATAGCTGACCCTCAGGAAGTTTTCACGGGCTGTAAAGTGCATAGGAGATTACCCATCTTTCTTTCCTGGAGCAGCTGATGACTAGAACCTTGTATTGGCAACACAACCACTTACTCACTAGGACACTGCAGCTCTGTATTTTAAGTCACAGTACTCATGTGTGTCAGAATTCAGTGATTTTGGGACCTAAGTTTCATCATATTCATAAAATAGTTGTTGCTACTATTAGGTGCCAACAAGTCAACCACAATACAAAGCACCCGTGGACAACAGCTTGAAACCTTGTCCTGTCCGCACTGTCCTCACCACCTCCCACTGTAGCATACTCATTGTTGTCAATCCATCTTGTGGAGGGTCTTCCTTTGTCTGACCCTCCACCTTTCCCTGCGTGATACCTTTTTCTAAGGACTGGCCCCTCTTGACAACATGCCCAAAGTATAGGAGACGAGGTTTCATCACCATCCTTGCTTCTAAAGAGCACCTTGCTTGCACTTCCTCCAGGATATGTCCTCCTAGCAGTCCATGGAATGTATGTTGCCAACACCACAATTCAGAGGCATTGATTCTTCAGTCTTATTCATTGTCCAACTTTCAGATGCATATGAAACAATTGAAAATAACATGGCTTTAGGGAGCTCTGGTTGCCTAGGGGCAAGAAGTTGCACTGCAGTCCCAGAGGTAAGCAGTTCAAATCCACCAGATGCCCTGCTGGAGAAGGAGGGGCAATCTCCTCCTATACCAGTCAGATCCGATTTGATGGTACACACACACAAAAAAATAATAAAATTTAAAAAATAACGTGGCTTAGATAGATGTACCCTAGTCTTCAAATTAACATCTTTGCTCTATAGAATTTTGGAGAGGTCCTTGACAGTAGATTTCCTCAATGCAACATGTATTTTGATTTCTTAACATGTTGCCGCACATGATGGCAAATGTGTTTCTAAGCACAGTCGTCAGTTTAAGTGTGCAGCAGCGTGTTAACTGCTGTTAATACTATGGGTGTTGACTGTGGATCCAAATAAAACAAAATCATTGGTACCTTAAATCTTTTCTCCAGGTATCATGATACTGCCTATTGGCCCAGTGGTGAGGATTTTTGGGTTTTTTTGATATTGAGATGTAATCACTATTGATGGCTATAGTCTTTGATCTTCTGCAGTAAACTCTTCAAGTCCTCCCAACTTTAAGCAAGCCAAGTTGTGGCATCTGTATAAGGCTCATTGTTGATTAATCTTATTCCCATGCTCATGCCACGTTCTTCCTCATAGAGTCCAACTTTGGAATGATTTGCTCAGCTTGATTGAACAGATGATGGCCTTTCTACAAAGACAATGCCAAAAGCGAAGAAGGAAGCCCCTGCCCCTCCTAAAACTGAAGCCAAAGCAAAGGCATTAAAGGCCAAGAAGGCAGTCTTGAAGGGCATCAACAGCCACAAAAAAAAAAAAAAGACCCGCACGTAACCCACCTTCTGGTGGTGCAAGACACTAATCTCTGAAGGCACCCCAAATACTCCTGAAGAGTGCCCCCAGGAGAAACAAGCTTGACAACTATGCCGTCAGGTTTCCCCTGACCACTGAGTCAGCCATGAAGAAGATAGAAGGCCAACAAGCACCAAATTAAACAAGCCATAAAGAAGCTGTGTGACACTTTGATTTGGCCTGATGGAGAGAAGAAGGTCTATGTTTGACTTACTATGATGCTTTGGCAAAAATTGGGATCATCTAAACTCAGTCCAGCTGGCTAATTCTCAATACAAATTTTTCTTACCTTAAAAAAAAAAGAAAAGTTGAACAGATACGGAGCAGTAACAACCCTGATGCATACCTTTTCTAATTTAAACCATGTACTTTTTAGACAACAGCTTCTTCACATACTTGTGGGTTTCACATGCGCACAATTAAAACAGACCATAGTCTTTGCAGTTACTTGCCATGCATCAATCAGAAAGCTGGACAAGGACTAGGGATGATAGGAGAAGAATTGATGCCTTTGCACTGTGGTGCTGAAGAACAGTATTGAATATACCATGGACTGCTAGGAGAACAAACAGGTGCATCCTAGAGAGAGTGAGACCAGGCTTCTCCTTGGAGGAAAGGATTCTGAAACTTCATCTGACATAGTGTGGACATGTTGCTAGATGGGACCAGTCTTCAGAGAGGGTCATCATGATTGGGAGGGTGAAGGGACAGTGCAAGAGAGGAAGACCCTTGATGAGATGGGTTTATTCAGTGAATGGGGTAATGGGAGTAAGTGTGTTAGAGACAATTAGATTGACACAGGATAGAGTAGGGTTTAGGGCTGTTGTATAGAGGGCTGCTTTGTGTTGCAGTCAACTCAATAGCACATAACACTTATTCAGTCTGCATATGTTGCTGAAACATCTTTTAAATACTTTTTAAGATTGAAATTAGGACAAAAACCTTAATCCAAATTAAAAAATGGTACAGCTTATGTAATTTTTTCTCATGTATGGATTTGATAGCATGACTTTGCCTGAGTCATAGTTAAGTCTCATCTCATTTGTATGGTCTCAGAACTATTCCGTTCTGATGTTCTTGATAAAGTTTAGGGCAGCCTTTCTGTTGAGATGGTTTCCTCTTTGACTTTAATTACTGGCAGCATGAGGTGTTTGCGCTTGACAGTGAGGAGCTCTGAAAGCAATGGAGGAATTTTTTAGATGTGTGCTCTTTACAGTGTCTTCCCACATACCCTTGTGACATTGGGGTTTAGCCAATGAGAATGAACTACATTTGGAATCTGAATTCAATTGGAAACAGAAACCTAAATGAATTCTGACTGTATGTAGGTTGTGGTGTTTGCTGCTGGAAGTAGTCCTCTTCTTCCAGGATTAGCAGATACAAAGGACAGTGAATGGTATTTCCTTCCTGTTCGGAATCCCTTTACTGTGTGATCACAAGGTTTTTTGAGAGCTTGTGGTTGAACATGATTTCTTGCTGAGATTACTTCCCTCTGAACTTCCCTGAACTCTTGCCTGTCCAGAGCACTTTAAGTTTGTTCTGATTTGTTCCTGACAGTCCTGAGTGGCAGAGGGCTGTAGTGTTTATTCAACAGTCACAGCCAGATACCAACAAAAGGGGCTGACAGCCATACCTGCTTATACCAGGAGGAATTTTTCCACTACATAACCAAAAATGTCTCCCTGGGAAGGATCTTGGTCTCACTCCTAGGGTGATTTTTTTAGAAGAATGAAATCTGTTCTTTCCACTGACACTTTGCTTTCATTTAAGAAAACCACAAAACAAAACAAAAACAAAAACTTCCTGCCACTGAATAGTTCTGACTCCTAGCCATCCTCTGGATTTCTGAGACTAAATTGCACCTGAAGGAGACTGTCCCTATTTCTCCTGAGGATCATCTGGTGGAGCTGAACTACTGGACAGGCGAGGCTTTTTAATTGGTAGTGCAACTCCCTATTCACCCCCAAGCTGAGCACAGTGGTGTAGAAAGTAAAAGTTTGGCGTATGATAAACTCATCCCTATTTCGTAAGAGTTAAAAACAGAGGATAATGTAGATGAAGCTTTGTTTAGTTTCTACAATTAAACTTTTCTTTATAAAAGGTTGCAGTAAATTCATTATGTACCATGTTCATTATGTACCATGTGCTTTTTTAGCTTGAAGAAGAAAAGAGAAGACAGAAGATTGAAATGTGGGACAGCATGCAAGAAGGAAAAAGCTACAAAGGAAATACCAAAAAGCCTCAGGTGCCTGTGGGTGCAGTCTAGTTTGAAAGTGTTCAAGTAGATGAATATTTTGTAGTAGAGTATTTTCAAATTAATAAATTTGTGTCCTGACAGGAAGAGAATAACTCTGGGCCTTCTACATCATCACTTCCCCCGAAACATAAACCTGACAGAAAGCCATTGCGTGGAGGTGGTAAGTGCCAGATGCCTTCTCATGTGAAAGGATCATGCACATGAGGAGGCATACTTTACTTTAGAAAGCAAGATTCTTTTTGTTTTCACTGTCTGCAAATTGAGATGAATTCCTGCCTTTCCAGCTGTAGGATTAAGTAAAGGGAAAGGGATATAATCCTCCCATGAGGCATTTGCTTGGGTTCTGCTTTCAAATTCTCATTTCATTGTACTGTGACAGCTAAGCTGAGGGACAGTAAGACAGGATAGTGTGCTTTATACAGATGAAATGGTGTATTTTGTCCTCCTTAACTTCCTGTGAGTAACTGTCTTAAGGGCAAGTGAGCAGATGCTTCCCCTGAGGATCAGCCAGTGTGAGGGTATCAGCATCTGGCCTGTACTAGATCCACAGGTGGAAGGGTCCTCATCCACAGCCTCAGCAGTGCCATGCTCTTCACTGTGCTCCTGTCAACTCTAACACCACCTGTTGGGCCTCACTGCCCTACTGCTGGGTCCACCAATCCCATTTCAGTGGCCAAACGGGATTCGCAGCCATCCTCCTCACCATAAGGTACATTAGGGAACATTAGGGAATTTAATTAGGCTACAATTCACACAAAACAATCAAGATTCAGTTCTTCAGAACAGCTGTTCAACTATGCATGCTGGCCTCTGACTTTCAGCCTCCTGGATCTGGGCCAGTGTTATGCATTTCTTTGATCATGTCAGTTACATTGTCTTCCCATAATAGGAATGGAGTAAAAATACAGCCATAACACAGAACTTTTCTTATTTTAAACCAGGTACTGTTGTCTTGTTCTGTTAGGACAACAGCTTCTTTACCTACAGATACTTTTCTCATGAAACCAATAAGTATTCTCAGATTCCCCCTTTTTTTTCTCTGTCTCTTTTTTTAAAAGTAAAGTTCATAGCCATCGTGTTTCATTTCTTTATATTGTGTTTCATGTATTCCTCTATTCACATTTTGTTTCATAGTATCATTCCCTTACATTGTGCTTTATAAAATTAATGACCATTGATCCATGCCCAGCATTATCCCACCTTTTCAGGTCCCTAGTGGATCTATCCTAAGGGATTTCCATTCTTAATGTTATCAATAATTTATGGTGGTGATCCACACAGATTTTGCACAGTAAATAGAAAATAAGTATCTTTCTTGTACTCTCTGCTTTGCTAAGAGCTGTCTGGCTTCAGCAGTGATATCTCACATTCCACAGCCTCTTCTAAATCCACCTTGACTTTCTGACAGTACCTTGTTGATTAACTGTTCCAACTATTTTCGGATAATCTTCATCAAGATTTTGCTTGTATGTGAGATTAATGATAATGTTTGATAATTTCTACACTGTGTTGTAGAGATCCACTTCTTTGTAGAAGGATCCACTCTATTGGATCCTCTCTTTTGGGTTGGGTTGTTAAGTGCCGTTGAGTCGTAGGTGACTCATAGTGACCCTATGAACAAATGACCTGGACCCTTGTATAACTTTCATACTTCTCCAGGTTCTTAGGGTTTCTGGAGGCAAGCTGTTTCGGAAGTAGATGGCGCTTGTTTTAATCGGGGAGCTCCACCATGGGTAACCATTACCACATTTGACACAATAGTGTCATAGTGTTTTGCATCACAGCAGCCACAAGTACAGCAAATGGACAGACAAGTGCTATACTACTTAGAAGAATGTTTGATCAAAAATAATTAAAACCAGGCCTGAGGGCTGCAGATTAAAATCACCCAGCAGAGCATCTGGTGGATTCGAACAATTAGCCACTAAGCCACCAGAGATCCCTAAGAAAGTAATTCTGAATAATCAGTCTGTTACCTGATTGGCGCAACCAGGCCTGGCCAGGTCTTCCCACCCCCTAAGATGTGCTGGCTGGGTTGTAGTCATCTTAACCAAGAGGATTTGTGCATTTCTTTAGGATGATGAATCCTTGATGATTCTGGCCAGCAGTTCTAAGTTAGTCTGGAAGAAGGGGAACACAAAGACTAAAGTAATTTCAGGATATTGCAGAAACCAATCTAGGTTGAAGACTGGTTTTTCCCTATTGAGAAGAGGATTTTTCAGTAGGAGACACCAGGTGTGGACTCCTTGAGAACCCTCCAGGTATAGACCAGCCGATAGGAGTGACTCAATCCTTCAGCACTGAGCACTAATTTTTGTATCAAGACAGTAGAGCGGGCTTGCTGTAAAGGAGTGAGATGTCTGAACAAAACCTTTCCTTGCTTGGTTCTGTTTTCAGAGCAACCAGTAGTGAAAGCTAGGTGAGGAGTTAATATTGTAGAAGATGAGATGCTATCAGGCATGTATGTACAGCTTTTCCCAGTGTTCCCCACGGCCCTGAAATAGGCTAAGACTAGCCTGATTTTACAGATGAAGAAACCAGGACAGAGAGTTCTTTCCTATAGTTCCCAGAACAAGTCGGGGGTAAACCCTGGGTTCTGTGTATGATGATGGACTAGAAATTGAGTGCTCACCCCCTTCCCATATGGCCTGAACTTGGAGAAGCTTTGAGGGGTTGGTGGGGAGTGGAGACCATTTGGGTATGTACAGCCATGTACATAGGCCATGTTACTGTCTGTTCAATTTTTTTTTTTTTCCAAATCCAAGTTTAACTTGAACCACCCTTGTTTGGCCACTGTCTTGTCGAAACATCCTTGCAGATACAAGCTGTGTCTTTACATTCAAGCCCGTCGTTTTGTTGCTGTTAAGTGTACCCAGGTGTTAACTATCAGTGAGCACACTCTCTTTTGTCCCAGGTTACAACCCTCTGTCTGGGGAAGGAAGCGGCACGTGCTCCTGGAGGCCTGGACGCAGAGGCCCATCAACTGGTGGATGAGGCTAAGAGCCTTGTTAATGTCATAGGACATTAACAAGGTGAGCCTGGAACCCTCAAGTCAATTGCCTTACGCACTCTTTTCACAGTGACTAGTCTCATGGAAGTGGGTTATTTCTCTTCTTACCTGTATTTGTATTTGTATATTTAAGAGTTTTATGTCAGCAAAAGGTATAGATAGTAGTCATACTGCACTTTATAATGATGACTGCCTCTCTTAATTTTCATGTGATTTGCTTACTTGTCTGTCGAGGCTTCTAGCTGATAAATAGTCCTGAGAGGAGAGGCTGAGTTTTGATAATCATTTGAAGTAGAAATCTTTGCTGACAGAGTCTCTGTGACAAGTTGCGTTGAATGATGTCTTCCTTATAAATGGTGAACTCACCAATAAGGATTACTGATGATAGACAGTTGATGGGGTTTGTTCCTGTATATTTATTTTTATGTGCAGAACTTTATAATAAAAAAGATGCTGTAAATACTGAAAAATAACAAATAACATTTTTTAGCATCTTTATGAAATTTGAGAAAATTTCTTTATTAACTGGAATTTGTTTATGAAACATTAAACTGCTTTCATCATTCACAACGTCCAACTATTACAACTTATTTCACTACTGATTATTCCTTACCAGAAATGAGAAAAATGCTGTGATCTTGAAAGTTGGAAGAATCCTTAGGACTCATCCACAAGGTCCTGGGCCTAAAGAAGGCTGTATTCATAATTCATTCTGCTACGATTAGTAGCAGACAACTTACAAGAAGACAGCAGTGTCCCTTATGGTTGAGACATGTATAACTCCATGATTCCAACATCAACAGTCCCTTCTTCTTTCAGTTTTTCCACACTTTTATGTCCTTGGGTTCAGCCCGAGACCTAAACCTGTCATGGGAATGACTCCAGGGACTGTAGGTGATGCTAGCTGGTAGTGCAGAGACTGATGAGCGGTGCAGTCTGATACTGTGTCCTAGAAGCAAGCAAAGATTCAACTCTCAGGAAGTTATTTAAGCCCGGTGGGGCTTGTATCTCATACCTCATGCTACAATAAATACTTCAGCACAAGATAAACAGTTAATCAGTGACGAATAAAGACATTGAACAGTAAACCTTTGACACCACAAAAGAGCTTGCAGGTAGTTTCTCCACTTGATGTGATGAAGAAACTGTTTTTGATGGGAGCTGAGTTTCAGGAATGAGGCTCCTGAGAGCTTAGGCCTCCATTCTCTACCCACTGGGCCTGGGTTCATCTGTTAACGTTCAAAGGGTTGTTAAAAAAATCCTATAGGCTGGAATTGGCTTGTATGCTATCATTTATTAGCATCTGCTAGGAATGAGATCAGAAGGGACAAATTCCTCTGTTAATTATCTGGGGAACTCTGGTGGCATTGCAGCTCAGAGGAAGAAAGACAGCTGTCTCCTCCTGTGCAATGTACAGCCTTAAACATCCAGTGAAGGATCAGCTATGAACCAGTTTCAGCCTGGCAGCAATGAATTATTTCTTATTACTGCAGGTTTCTAAAATTGTCTTATATGTAAATTAGCATTTATTGTGCATAAGACATTTGTGAAGTCATAGTTGATCATTTTGGCAATATACTGGATGAAATAAATATATTGTCTATTATGAGGCTTAAAATTTCTTGTAAAGATTGGGGAACAGAAAGGATACTTGAACAACAGTGTTACAAATAGGTTGAGGAGTGGGTTAAGGAAAGGGGAAGATGCGGTGTAAAAAACAGTGTATACAAACTCTATGAACTTTGTAAGTAAACCAGTATAAAAAAATTTTTTAAAAAAAACCCCAAATACTAAATAGTTTGAGATAATGAAGACAGTAGCATAGACATTCTTCTGGTATTCTCTGCACTCAGCCAAGATCCATATGACATTGGCTGTGATATCCCTAGAACGAACCCCTGCCTCTTCTAAATCCTGCTTGTATTTCTGGTAGTTCTCTGTCAATGTACTGTCCAGTCATTTTTTTATAAGCTTCAACAGAATTTTGCTTCCATGTGATAATTACTGATATTGTTTGGTAATTTCCACACACTGTTGGATCACCCTTTTTGGAATGGGAATAAATATAGATCTCTTCCATACAGTTGGCCAGGAAACTCCTCCAGATTTCCTGGCATAGCCTGCTGAGCACATCCAGGGCAGCATACATTTGTTGAAATATGTCCACCTATTTCTGGGGCTTTATTTTTGCTGTTTCCTTCAGAGCAATTTGAATTTTTTTCCTTCATCACCATTGCCTCTTGGTCGTATGTTACTGACAGTGTGGATCACAACAAATGGGGGCTGACCTTGAGAAGAATGGGAACCCCATAACACCTGCCTGTGCTCATACAAAACCTGTACTTGGACCTGGAAGCAGTCAACAGAACAGTGCAAGGAAACACTGCATGATACAAAATCAGGAAAGGAGTGTGTCAGAGAAGCATCCTGTCTTCATACCTTTTCAATCTATATGCAGAATAGATCATTTGGGAGGTAGGACATTACAAGGAGGAATGTGGCATCAGGATTGGAGGGAGACTCATCAACCGTCTGTGTCCTGCAGATGACACACAATCTTGCTTGCCAAAACTGAGGAAGGCCTGAATTGTTTGCTGCAGAAGGTCAAAGTTAAGTCTTCAATATAAATTGAAGCTTAACATCAATATTCTCACCACTGGGCCAATTGGCAGCACCATGACAGATGGAGAATAGATTGAGATTAACAGTTTTGACTTGCTTGCTTCCATAATTAACACTTGGGCACCAGCAGTCAGGAAATCAAAAGATGAATTAGAAAAAACTACTGTCAGGGACTTCTATGGAGTACGAAAGAGCAGCATTGTCAGTCTGAAGACTTAAAGTGTGTCTAACCCTGGGCATGGTCTTCACAGCTACTTGCTATGCATCTGTGAGCTGGACAGTGATTAAGGATGACAGAAAAAGGATCGATGTCTTTGAGTTGGGCTGGGGAAGAGCATTGACCATTTCATGGACTGCCGAGAGAACAAACTTCTGTCCTTAAGTGGGTGAAATCAAGATCCTTGAAGGCAAGGATTTTGAGGCTCCATCTCATATACTTTGGGCATGTTATTAGGAGGGACCAGTACTTAAAGAAGGATATCATACTTGGAAGGGTGGAAGACCACAAAAGAGGAAGACCCTAGATGAGATGGATTGACAGGTGTAATGGTAATAGGTGTGTCAGACAATGAGACTGTCTCAGTCGCAGCTTGCCTGTGATATTAATAAAGAAGTATAATGAAATGTGCAAAGAGCTAGAGTCAGAAAATCAAGAGGGCCGAACTCAGAATAAATTATTCACTGATTATTCAGTGAGACTGTCTCAGGATAGGGCAGGATAAGTTTCAGGGAGCACATAACGATGGAAGAAATTGGGACTTTCAGGCAGAAAAGCAGTCATTAAAAACAAATGGGTGCGTTTTACATCCAGAAATTTTCATTTAAGACAAAAGCAACTAGTACTTTTAGTTTACGTTTTATGTAGCTGAAAATTTTTGATAACTGATTTCCCAGCTATTAATCAGAGGTGTTAAAATTGGTTTGTTGTGTACTGCCATGGTAGAGTCTTCCCCTAGCTTTGGCAGGTTTCCAGAGGCAGTTAATCCCATGAGAGGTGATTGCCCATCCTCCTGTGAAGCAGTGGTGGATTTGAACCACATGTCTTCGGGATTGCAGTGCAGATTCTTGCCATTCGTTTAAAGATGTAACTTTCAAGACACTTGAGCTCTAGTAGCCTAGCCCATGAGGAGTGGTGAAGACTTCACAACCAGAGAGAGTGCCCCACTTCAGTGGACATTGTCCTCAGTGGCTTTGTTCTACTTTTTATCCATGTTGTGTGCTATTGAGTCAGAACCAACTTCTAGCTGACACTCCAGTGGATTTTCAGAAGCATTATACCACACAGATTTTCCATCCTTTTGAATCTACATGTTACGTGTTGTCGAGTTGCTTGTGACTCAGTGACTCTCTGCATGCTGCTCTATCCCGTACCAGCCTTATTGTCTCTGACACACCTAACCCCATTACCTCAGTCACTGAATCAGTCCATCTCAACAAGGGTTTTCCTCTCTTGCACTGTCCCTCTACCCTTCCAAGTATGACATCCTCTCCATGGACTGTCCTTTGCAACATGTCCAAAGTGTGTCAGATGACGTTTCAGAATCTTTACCTCCAAGGAGCAGCCTGGTTTCACACTCTAGGATGAACCTTTTTGTTCTTGAAGTACATGGTATATTCTCTTCTCCAGCATCACAGCTCAAAGGCATGGATTCTGACATCCATAGTCAGTGTCCAGTTTACTGATGCATAGTAAGTAATTGTGAAGACTGTGGCCTGCATCAGGTGTACTTTAATCTCCAGACTGTTATCGTTGCCCTTCAGTCCTCTGAAGAGGTCCCTGACAGCAGACTTTACAAATGCAATATGTCTTTTGATTTCCTGGCTGCTGGTACCAAGAGTGTTAATTGTGGAGCCAAGCAAACTGAAATTTAACAATCTCAATCTCTTTACTATCTTTCATGATGCTGCCAATCAGCCCAATAGTGAGAATCTTTGTTTAATAGATGTTGCACTTCAATCCATATTGAAGGCTGCAGTTCTTTACCTTCTGCAGCAAGCGCTTCAGGTCTTCATTACTTTCAGCAGGCAGGGTTGTGTCATCTGCATAACACAGACTGGTGAATAAGTCTTACTCCAATCCTGATGCTGCGCTCTCCTTTTGAGCCCAGTGTCCCAATATAGATTGAAAAAGTGTGGAGACAGGACACATCTCTTGGGATACATCCTTCCCAATTTTGAACCATACACTATTTCCTTGGTCTGTTCTGATGACTGCCTCCTGGTCCAAACCTCTAGGTATAGGTTTAGTATAATCAAGTGTTCTGAGATTCCCATTCTTCTAAGAGCCACAGTTTGTTGTGATACAGAGTTAAATGCCTTTGCATAGCCAATGAAACAGACTTTCCTCTGGTACTTTCTGCTTTCAGCCAAGATCCATCTAACAGTTTTAAGATCCT